AGGGGTGATAAAGTTACACGTACTACAAACATCTCTTGTTGTTACTGAAAGCACAGCAGAGCTCATCACGGGGTGAGCAGTAATCACACAGACACACGAGCAATGAACATCTGACAGAATAACCAAAGATTTTGTACGTACACTTGGATCATCCAAGGGTCCATATCTCTTCACCACCTGACCCTCTCTATTGATCAAAAACTAAACACAAAAGAAAATAAATGAATAATTATAACACATTTTTTGCATATAAAAGCTTGTTCCAATAATTGTTCCATACTCTCTAAAATTATCCTTTATACTTTATACTGTTTTTCAAATAGTCAGTATTTTATATTTTAGCCCTGTTGACATAAAAATGTTTTAAAAATAAACCGTAATAAAAATGTACCTTAGTGAAATTCCACTTGATGCTACTGCAGAAATAAACACAAAAATGCGTTAGAAAATCAATAATCGCTCTCATTCAGTCAGCATTGGAATAAAAATGCTGTTAATCAATAACTAATTGAAATGATATGACTGATTATTGTTCAAATTCAGTTGTACACATTTTAAACAGATGACTGTACACATTATGTCTGATCCAAACAAGCTTTTAAGATACTTTGTGACCATATGACTGTGACCCAGATTCATTCATTCACAACTTACTTTCCAAACAAGCCCTTCCCGTTAGGCTGCTCCTTCAGCCACTTCCACAGAGGATGAGCGTTTTCCCCATTCACCTCGATCTTGCTGAACATATCAAACCGAGCCTGGAACTTGTCTGCGAACTGCTTGATTTGAGTTTCATTGCCCGGCTCCTAAAAGTAAATAGTATTAAAAGTGTTAAAGTCTCTAACTGCTCTCAGCGACCTGCATATGACAAATTATATATAATGGCAACAAAATAGTCGACTTAAAACAGCAGCTTCTTGAATTTGACATAATCTTAAAACTTGGCCTAGTTTCTTTCAAAAACAAGCCATCTTTCAGACTAGTAGTGAGAAAATTGCCAAATTATCCATTGCGGTGTTTTTGCAACTACAATTTATGCACATGATTACACACTTAATGAAATTATGAATGCTTTAGATATTTAAAAAAATCATTTCAGAAGACCTTATGCAAAAAATTATAAAGGTTTCACACTGGCTAAAATTTCACTTATACATTTTTTTTCTGTAAAACATTTAAAAGGTTATTGTCTATCTGTTAACAATACAACAAGACTGTCCACCATTTGTTTTTAGACCTGAAGTAAGCTCTTGGGTGAGAGGTGAAACATCTTTACAGATCTCCAGTTATCCATGACCTGGATAACTGATAACTGACACAAACAAATCTCATTAAATGTTGCAATAAAAAAAAAACAACTAATGTTTTACATACCTGGTTCCCAAACTGGTTGGAAGGGAAGGCAAGGATGCTTAAACCTCTCTCAGCGTACTTGGCGTGCAACTGAGTAAACTGAGAGTAGTTTACTGGGGTTTTACCTCATTTAGAGGCTACGTTGGTGATGATGACAACATTCCCCCTGAATACACACACACGTGCACACACATTTGTTTAGTGATAAGAGGTTTATAATTGTAATTTACAAATTAATTTACAAATACAATACATAAACAGAGAAATTTACCTGTATTTTTCAAGGGAAACCACGTTGCCATCAATATCCGTTGCTGAAAAGTTATAAATGGATGTTGCCCTCTGCCATTCCTCTAATGGGGCAGACTGTTTTGGAAGGAAAAAGAAAACAATAAGTAGTTAGAACACTGTGTTATTTCCAAAACTCCACAGCCTATCAGATGTAAAGAATTCATTTTAAAAAGAAAATGTAATGAAAATAAAAAAAGCAATACATCCAATAAAACATGAAAATAAACATAAATCTAAGGAGAGCAAAAGCAAAAGCAAAGGTTAGCCCTCAAACGCAAAAGTAATGTTTCTTACCATAGCCGGCAGCAGGACAGAGAGGAGCACTGTGCACCCTATCAGGCGCATGGCTGCCCTACTTAGCTCCTCAGTTTCTAAAAGTATCACCGCTGAACTTCTATCCCTGTACTGAGAAAACTCACGTTCTACGGTGCTTTTGTAAAGGGAAACCAGGTGATCATTAACTAAACTGATAGGCTGTGATTGTCCAGTACCTCCCTCTGTGCTGCTGATTCAGTAAAGCCTGATCCCAAAAGCATGTGTGCTGCAGTCCACAGTTCACAACTTAGTCCGTGTAGAGCAAAGAGCAACGGTCAGAAGAAAAACCAAAGCTCATTATGCATTGTGTT